CCTCACAGGTAAAAAACTACCAGAACGTGAGACCGGCAACAACCTGTCTGCATCCTATTCGAGTGACCAGTGACCAACAGAAGACCAAAACCGATGACCTCCAGTTTATCTTGAGGGATGAAACAACAACGACGTAGAAGGAGTCAAGCTGACCATTCCTGAGCAATAAAGCCCGCCCCTTCCCCCGGACCAATGACCACCAGAGGCTGCCCTGGGGGATGGAATGATGGTGACGTAGAAGGGGTCAAGCTGACCATCCCTGACCGATAAAGCATCCACGCCCCTACTGGATCGATAAATACTGGGACACGCTGCATGTCTGCGTCACACTCTTTCTCGGTATACAGTAGAATCCCTTCCGAAACGCTAAAACTTGGACTGGCTTAGGAGACTAAGGGGCGGGGCATGTGACGTGCCCCACCCCCTGGAATGGCGGGGTAGAAGGTCAAGATCAGTGAAAAGGAGGCTAAGATTGGAGGTATTTTTTAGCCCTCTTTTAAACCCTATTTTTAACCCGTAATTCTTTTTTTTCGTACACCAGAGAACCCCTCCCCAACCGCTAAAACTTGGACTGGCTTGGGGGATTAAGGGGGCGGGGCCACTATGACTGTGGCATGCCCCCCTCCCCTAAGGATGGCGGGGTCGGAGGCGAAAAAAAATGAAGGCGAAACAAAGACTATAGATGCATTTTTAGGCTTAAAAAGCGGCAGCGGAGGGGAGTAACTGGTTTAGAAGGAATTGGAACTTTGTTTGGGGCCAGGAACTGGAGACAGTGGGGGAGGGGAAAGGGGCGGAGCCATAAAATAAAGGGGGATTGTATAGGTTTAAAAGAAAATCTCCAGCAGGAGACCAAACGTCAAAAAACTGCCGTTGGCGCAAATTTCACAGCATCGTCGATTATGTCCTCAAAGTGTCGAACCGGAAGTACCTGGCCCCGGCTCCGCGAACACCGCTGTGTTGAGGCAATGACATACAGATGCGAAACGTGACCACCCATGAAAGATGAAAAGTGAGCACTGGCCACCGACGGAAACAACGCGACGAAACAATGCAGGCGTACGACGCGTCACTTCCTAACCATATAAACAAT